CATACTTCGTACCGATTTTGGAGCTAATATAATGCAACATCAGTGCACACCTTCGCCGGATTCCGTGTTGTCTTTTGTCGGGCGTTGTTTAGCATCTAATTGGTTGTCAAAAACCAGGTTTTTGGGATGAATAGGTAGCAAAACGTGATGGTAGAAATCTTGCACGATTATTGGGCATGCAATGATGACATCGCTTTTATGCAATTTCCTATTTACCTTTGACAGGAAGGTGCGAAAATATTTGGAACATGTGGGTTTGTAAAACGTTGCCAGCAGAACCGCTGTGTGTAAAACTCTCTAACCCGATCAGATGGATGTTTTCTTGTTCAAATGCAAGTTTTCAAGAAACGTTTGTGTCTTGTGAAAGCTGTAATCCTGCCATGTTGCGAAAGCATACAATGCTGACCCCATGTGGAACAGGACACCATTTCGGTTAGACAGTGCTTTTATTAAAATGTTTACCTAAACATGACTAAATCAACTAATGAAATCGCTTAAAACGAAATTGCCTGTTCTCCGGGTAACCGAAGGTAGAGGTTACCCATTTCAAGCTAGTCCAAGGCTTCTCGTCCGGTTTATTTTTTCCAAAAATTAAATTGTCCGATGCATACAACGTTCTCTTCTGGATTTGCGGACAACTCTATTTCAAACTTAAAATAATAGCTACATATTTAGAGATTTTAACTCACGTAGTTAAAAACGACAGTGGTCTAGATGAACTTCCGTCAAAAATGCATTTTTGACAACATGTTACTTGAACGTCAATCCTGATGACATTCTGTCCTGTTGGAAATTTCCCTTAGTGTTGGGGCTTACCCGGGGCTCGCCAGTTCATTCATTCCAATAGCTAGCTTGTAGTCGAGCTTTGCGTTAAAACGTTCATCCGGTTCAAGGTAGATTAACCGAAACCGCTTTCGGTACAGAACTATTCTAAATAAGCAGTGAGATTTCACTTTGGATGACGACAAACAACCCAGTGTCTGACTGCGATTTCGTGCTGTGGAAACCTCGGATAGCTTTCGGGAGTTGTGCATAAAAGGTGTGCCTCTACCATTACGATGCTGGTGATAAAGTGATCTCGGTTATCTTTACCAAACTCCAATAGTGCCGTGGACTGATGCAAAAAATGTTATGGAAGAGTTATTGAATGTTGTCCAAACGCATGTTTCATACGTTTCAGTTTTCAGAGATCATTTATACCGTTTTTAGTGCCCCAAATATATGGGAAATTCATGAAAGCTCTCGCGATGTTTGGAACAGATTAGTCCAACGAAGCTTCTAGAGTCTCTAAAGGGATGACATCGCTTTTGTTGTAACGTACCTTCTGTGTTAGATACATTTGAGCAGAGCCCGTCCCGCCGTGAAATTACTAGGTGGATCGATAAATTGCAACAGGGGTGAAAAGAGTGCTTTCGTAAATTTCTGCCTTGGTGGTTTCCAGCGGCGACATTTTCTTCCTCAAATGTATGAAAACGTAATGAATAGTTAGACTGCCGAATGATCCACCTCAGCCGTTCGCCTTATTTTGAAACGAAGTGCACTCCATACCCAGCAACAGTTCACTTATGTTCCATTTATGGTGTGTTGATGAACTTGTGCCCCGCAGTGCACCGTCGTCGTTCACTGCATGGTGGCGAACTTGTGAATGCAAAAAATAAGGCACCTTCAGAGGACACAAGGTCGCGGTTTCTGGTTAGCAGCTTATTTAAATGGATTTATGATTCGTTTCAGTTTATCGATTATCCGGTGGTCATACCAACGTCGTCATGGAATTTCGCTGTCCCTTCAAAAGGGGAGATCTGTTGCGGAATTTGTGGAGTCGCTTTGTAACATTTGCTTGGATTTGAGCGATGAATGACTGGAGCCAATTAATATCAAGTAAACTTTAAGAAGATGCGTTCAGGAGAAGATGGATGTCCAGATTTTGTAAATTAGATGCAAATGAGAGTATTACTTCCCCGTCGAATGGTCTGTAGCCGGTCAATTGACATTTTCTAATGAGTAACTCCGCAGCAAAGGTCTTCTTCTTTTCACTGGTAACATTCATCCACCCTGAGTAAGAACCGTGCTGTCTAGCCAATGAATAAAAGGACGTTGTATTAAGAAGCCTTCGTGGATTTAGAAGGCACCTTCAAATTGATAAAGCATCGTAATTGTGTTGAGGGAAGGGCCTACACACTTGACAGTCCACCGCACGACTCACCAAACAACCGCCATCGTCAATTAGGCTGCGTGTCAAAACAACTCAATGTGTGAACCCGTCTTCCAATAAATCGTTTGTAGGCCACTCACCATATAGCTTTACAAGCCTGAGCTACCTCAGTGAGTGACCGACCAATCTTCCATTCTCAAGTAATGATCCATAAAAAACGATCGATGCCCCGGAATCAAAAACCACAGTGAGGGTTGTAAATCCCAAGTTTTTGCGGATTTTCAGTGCCCTGCGACCTTCCATTACAACATTGTTAATTCAGATGTCTGACCGCTGGAGAGGCAAAAATGAATGCCCTGTGCAGCCGCATACTTTTTTGCCTTGTATTACTACGGGATGAATGCAAAACGAAAGCGCTATGAATCAATGAAGCAAAAAAGAGCACGACCTCGACAAAAGTTAAAAAACTGGTTTGACAACAAATAAGTGTTTTTTTCTCAACGAATGAAATCCTATGACAAAATTCACGCTCACTTGACACATCCACTTCCAAATATCTCTCACTAAAACCAAGTTGAACCATAATTTGAGAGTCTGTGAGAAAACATAGTTGGGTCTATCAACCACTCCACGAGTTCCTGAAAGCATCTGACCGCTCCAGAATATCTCCGCGGATATTTGTATCCATAAAAATTACAGTAGGCTTAACAGGGCTCCAATAGCTTCAAAAAGGCAGGCATTCATCCATACCTGTGAGAATAAATTTAGAAGGTTTACCGGCAGATCTCGGACTAAATGAGTTCATCTTCAATGTCAGATTCTTTATTACGGTGTTTTGGTGTAAAGTCTTCAAAAGAATAAATGCCGGTCGATGAATCAAGTCGAATGGTATGACCGAGTGAATACAACGTCTGCGCAGATACGGAGCAGGTGGATAGATTCCGCCGTTCCACTACCCAACGTCAAGGATCGTCTCACGGGACACTTACGAAAGAGCACATTGACTAAGCGGAATGAATCGTGTATTCTCAACCTATGCTTCAAATTTATAATCGAACACCGGGCGTCAGTGCAGGTGCATCTTTTGGGTACTTAATAAACAAATATATGGGTTTCCAATGTTCTGTAGCTTACAGATGGCTAAGTTATCAGGAAGGTCAACAGACTGTATACTGGGCAGTTGGTTGGGTTTAATGTCAGCTTTTTCTCCATTGACCGTCGGTCGTCAGGGGGTTGAAATATATTATTAGTACGCCTGATGTGCATTCTTATTGATATCAATTACCGACAACGTCGAAACTCTTTCAGGTCTTCCGAAATCACTCCGGAGATGAATACTCGAGAATAGCTTTCACAAACCAATCAGGACCAACCGTGGTAAGAACCCATTTGTCTTGCTTGGCTGGACGTAATGTGTATGGCGTTCACCGTGCTTAAAACTCATTGGAGTGGTAGTGAGCAAGTTGTTGGTAGTTCGCGTGACGTAAATGGTTGCCGGTTTGTTCGATGAGCTGGGTAAAGTTTTACGATCGATCTAGTAGACATCATCAGTAATTGCTAGAAAATGTGGTAAAATAAAGCCATGGGTATGTGTTTGGGCACAGAAAATAGTCGACAAGTGGTACATTACTCTATTGCACTGATGTGCTAGCTGCCTCTGCGATAGGTTCCCATGGATGCCTAGAGGTCCCTTTGAAACTGAGTGTTTGCGATCAATCACAAAACGTGTATATGGGATTCTCACCTACTTGCTGAGCTAAAGGCAAAATGGATTCACGGATTCACGGATTGATACACAGGATCGAGGCTTTTGCCCAAGTTTCCCTGGTCGGTTTTGTTCTTGTCGGTCAGTGGCTGTCGTTCACCTGAAAGGCACAAGTGAAAAAAGGGTGTAGCACTGCTCTTTATGTTCTCAGCGCGGGGCAGTATGCTCGCCAACGCGAGGATTCGCATAAATAAATGTCTAATAGTGCTTTAAATTGGGTTCGAGAAGGAGCGTGTACAACCGTCGGAGGAAGGTCATTCCACGCAGCTACTACCCGAAATGAAAAAAAGTTTTGTCTAATGAATGTGTGTGCCCTGAGCTTGAAGATTTTCTTACTATGTCCCCGCCGGGTGTTTGCTGGGTCAACGGTAAAAAACCTGTTTGCCAAGCTTTGTTCAAACAGGGCGTAGGTAAGAATTAGGTCCCCTCGGAGGCGACGGTACTCCAGGGGAAAGAGATCAAGCGTCGCGAGACGCGTTTCGTAGTCCACGGACTTGAGGCCGGCAACCATTCTCGTGGCGGCCCGCTGGACACGCTCAATGAGGGTAACGTCTTTCGTACGTCCTGAGTAGACAACTTGGTTGGCGTACTCCAGGAGCGGTCTGACGTAGGCCCCATAGAGTATTTGGAAGTCCATGCGAGTAATACGGGAGAAGGTACGTCGGATCATCCGTAAAACGGCGAATGCCTTTTGGGCCGATCAGTGGGAGATCAGTGGCGATTTACATTTTTTGTTTTGTAGCCGGTGGTTGCAAACTGTTCATACGAGACAATATTTTATTGGTCACTTTTTATTGCCGTTAGTGTATTGAGATACGCATTAGACAAAGACACGAAAAACGAAGAGATTTTGTTTGAATATTTTCTGGGTTACAACATCGGTCGTATCACCCAGGAACGCGACCACAATAACTTCATTCTAGCAATCAAGTAGGCGAATTATGTAGAAAATGGCAACTTTTTGAAAGTATGATGTGGTGTTGAATAGATTCACCCAGCTTTGTTCTGCGAGTGAATTCATCTATATGAATTTCATCTATACGGAAGACCGGGAAGCACTGTAGGGTTGATTCCTTTCGGTTTACAAGGACGCAGAAATCAGTTTCATGACTCGCATGCTAACAGCTGAAGACCAGTGGAGACCGAAGCTAACAAAACCGAGCAACTCAAAGTGAGACAGAATGAAACGCCAATCTTCCTGATCTCCCAAACTCCACATTGGGTGATCATCATCTGGTGACCGTTCGCAAGCTCCGATGAGGAAATCTCCGGGGGATTTTTCGCTGATCTTGTGAGTTATTTGTCCTCCCGGTTTAGATACCTACTTAAAAAAATTGAAAATATCAACCAAAGTCTAAAAGTTAGTTGCAGCTGGTTTCGGTGAGCTGATCAAAAAGATAGGTGCTCCGGTCATTTAGATCCTGAAAATCTACCATCGGTCTATTTATAAGGAAGAACGATCCACCTAAGGAAAACTGCTGACATGGTTGCCGAAAATTTCTCGACCGGTTTCGCCCTTCTTAAGGCTCTTCAGTTTCCTTCAACCTTATGTCCTTCTTGCGTTCTACCTATGTTGGACCTCTCATATAATTACCATGATTGTTGGCGAATAATTGGTCCAGTGGATAACAATTCGGTACAATTTTCATTGCTTACTTTCAAGAAATACCTTTACTAACAAAAAGCTTTTTTCAGTGAGGAAAATGCGAATTCGAGCACGGTTAAATACGCAAAGGTAGGACATGTAGAATGCGAATCTACCCTTTCGCGTAAGATAAAGCTATCGACAATCCTTATGAGTACAAATCCGGCAGACCATGGTCGTTGGCTTGTTCGCTGAGCTGGTTGTGCACAACAACTAACCCACCGCTACGCACAACTACGCACCGATGATGGCACCTCGATTGGTGATGAAACGTTTGCTGCCAAATTGCCCAGCTCAGCGAACAAGCCAACGACCAGCTACGCTACCTGAGCTGCCGGCAGACCATGTTGGCCCTTCCCGGGGAGATCACATAGGCTTATCCGCTGATTGTGATGCTGTTGACCAAGTACAGGACACTGGAGCTCACCTGAAACATGATCGAACCGAGAAGTAAAAATTGAACCCCATAACTTTTCATTTTGACTTCCGATTCGAATATAGCTAAATGCATCTACAAAATCCAGCAATCGCTTGAAGATTACTTCCGAAAAACTCAAGACCACATGGTTAAGTGTGGTTCGAGAAAATCCGAGGGAAAGCGCTGGTGGTTGTGCTGAACAAACTGTTTTCGACAGCGAATCATGTTTTGTCTTGGGAAAAAACTAAGCGGTCTCGACAGAGGGAGTATATTTACTAATCGCTTACATCATAGCCTCCTATATTTGAAAGTAGAATGGATAAATGGTTGTGCATGCGTATAGAAGCTTGCCACATAAAATGCGATGTAAACAAAAAACAAGAACAGAGGTACGAAAAACCGTCTCTGAATCTCTTTGGTATATTAGCACATATTCCAATTCCCCCGCGGATGAAGTTGTATAACATATTTTGTTTTTTATTCAGAAATTGCGCCCGAGGGGACTTTCAGTGGTCCCTCAACGACGATTCTTTGAAGGTGGTTGAGTGGAGACAAACTTCCTCAGAGATGTGATGAAATTCTTCTCTTCGTCCAACGTTAGCAGACACACCAGCGAAACACACATATAAACTTGCAGGTATTTGACCAGGTCGCGTCAACTCGGGCCTTGACGCCTTGCGATCTCCTCGTTCCGCAGCAAGCGTTTTGATAAAGATGTACGCCGGTAGAACAGAAACTCAAACCTACTTCAACCGGTGTGTGTTTCTTCCCCAAAAGACGGATGTTAATACTAGTATATTGTGATGATCGCTCAAACCAGTCCATGTCTGACACAGGTGTAGTAGAATGTGAACATTTCACTAGTTTATCTGAGGAAATTCCCGTTCTTGCTGTAAACAGCTGAAAGGTCGTTGCACTCGAAAACGAGCCAATGTTTGCTTTGGTTTACCTTGCCAAGCAGATCTAAGTCGGAGAGCTGTTTCGTTTTCCCTCCCTGGAGTGCTTGCTTGGTGCTCTCTGACCAAGACGGGAATGAGGCAAATTTATCTTGGTCTTCAGGTACTAAACAAACTAATACAATATGCAACATAAGGAAATCGGCATACTGTATTCTAAGTCAAATCGTTCAACTTTGAATCTGAAATCATCCTGAAACAAGTGAACGAACTGAGAGAGGTAGTTGGGGCTGATATGACCTGTGAACTACCGCAATTCCGAGAGAGCCAAACGCTTACTTGTGGAATCTAAAATCAACAGATATTCGGTGCAACTGGAAAAGAATATTTGGTCCGTTGCCAGGTGGCTCACTGATTCCTTTTACCAGGTCTGAGAACAGGGGCACCATTTGGAACATTCTCCATATTTTCTTGGTGTGTTCAGGGAACTGGATTCCCCTAAAAGCAACTCCTGTGACATATCAGTTCAGTCTCCATCACACAGTCTACATCTTCACAACAGCAGCCACCTGGAAAATCTGTTTTAACTTTCGGAACAAGGCGACCAAATACTGAACGTAGGCACTGCGCTTGTACAGAGACCTATTGAACATACCCCAAAACAAGGTAAGGCAATTAAAAACCGAGGGCCTTTTTTTCGATTATTCTCAGAAATAAAGTAGAAGAAATTTCGAGATAGAAACATTCAAGATTTTATGGTCACTCACCCCAAAACTGGCCTTAATTTGGAACGAAATAAGAGTGACATTACTGTCTCGCACTAACTGAGTACTTCCAAACTGAGTAAGTCCAAAATCAGTAAGTGCGATCATCCGCGTTTATTTATACATTACTGTCACAGGCCTGAATCTTTTACGATAAGATCAGGCTTGTTTGACATTGTTTGGAGTTTTACAGTGAGCCTGCAAACTGAGGCGTTTTTCTCAAACTAAAAACCTGCTTACAAGACCACAGGCTTTGCGCGTTGTTTAGTTGGACGCTCGATTCGGAGCAGACATCCCGCCAAACATGTAACCAGACGGACAGTTCATCCGCATCCATTGTCAAATTTTTCATGACACCAACCGAATGAGACCAGGTCGACTTGGGGTCAGCTGTTTCGAGGCCACCATTCCTGATTTCAGTGAAACTGACTGAAATTCTCGTTAGGTTTCCTTAGATCATTAGATATTTTAACTGATTTTTTCGACGCCCCAATTCAAGATATCATTTAATCTCACGTTTGATTCACTGCAAAATGAACTCAACAGAAGAATTCTACACATAAGCGACTGTGCAATATATATCTATGTCTATCCTGGCTGGCGAGACGGATTGCACGCGCAGTGTTTGCCGACCGACGTTCATTCTATTCAAGTGAATCAGTTATACACGTTTCAACATTCTTCTACGAATCCACTAAAACCCTTGTCTACTTCTCACCATACAGCGTGAAATCGTCATCATCTTTGGAGCCTAAGAAGGCAATCAAAAGGTAGAACGAATTTAGTACCCACCTGATTTCAGGTGCAACAATAGTGCATTCATAGTATAACATTTTATTGATCGGCATTCAAAGAGTCCACATTGGCCCAACAATCAATATTCATTATTCGTTTAAAGCTAGCTGCTTTGTGACAAAGCTTTGCGCATTACCGAATTCCGCCCAAACAGACGAATTTTACTAGGATACTCCCCCCGCGAAACAAAGGATGGCCTGGTAGTCTCACCGTACAAGTTTCTTGAGGCAGTTTCGACGTTCACCAGAAGGGGTTACTGTGTACTCAATTTTTGTAGCCGGCTTCTGTGTACGTGTACCATGACCGGTTGGCAAATTTAGGCTTCCCTTTCAGAGCAGAGCTTGACCCTGCGGTTTCGTAGAACCCTCGAGTCACCATATAATATGTGCTCTGATAGCTGATTGGTGTAAAGGCTCCCTGACAGGGTCACTTCGCTGGACCCTGAAAAAGCAGTGCTCCTTCAAAGGACTCTCTGATGTCCTTTTAAGCGGTAATTAGATTAGATGCAGTGCACACTGCGATAAACACACGAGGAATCGTCATTTATGTTTGATACTCAAAGAGATTGAAGACAGATTGGATGCATTCAACCTGAAAGTTTTGCCACCTAGCTCCTGCGAACATACGAGAAACGATACAGTGGTTTTGCGGACGCAACAGTGCGAGGTAACCTGTACAGTCAGAGTGACGTCCATCTAACTAGAGAGAATTCTTCTTCTGAGCATCGTCCACATAAAGTGACCAGGCGGAAGTGATTCCTTAGGAGGGTGGAGGCTCATGTAACAAAGTCCGGTTGTCGCGTATCCTTTAAGTTGTGGAAGTAAAACGGCGGGCGACTTTCGATGTTCCGTGACCTGTTTTCCATCCGTCGGTGCTTTTGTGCGTTCGGACCACCTTTCAATATCTGTCTAGAACGTTTCCTAAACAGCGGTAGGTCATAAGACTCCTCTTGACGGCAGACTTACCACAGTTTTTATTGCTTGCTGGAAAATAAACAGTGATTCGCTTTATCATTTCAATTGTTTGTTTATCAAGTACCAATAATTCACCATTTTGCATCAATCGAGAAATGACTTGTCAACTTATGGTTCCCAGTCTGTGGGCAGTGACGAGATTCTGTTTCAACTGCTCGTAATGCAGCTATTACCGTAGAAGACTCAAATTACTTATCCTTGGTGAGTTCATTTCCAAACGTTTCAATGTTACCACATCCAAGTAACAACTCTTTGAGAGCCTTCGAAAATTCTATCCACCCCTTTTTCACTGTGATTTGCCTCTTGCCGCTTGGGAGTACGTAGGGCAACTCTACATCCATCAACCTGGATTTACTTTGATTCGCAGTGCAGTTCTGGCATGAGAGACGAGAACGACGAAGCCTGTGTTGAGAAGCATGCTTCAATTTAAGTAGTGTCTAGGATCACAACAATATTCGGAGTTTACAGAACGTCGTCGTTCTGCAAGGTGATATTCAATGGGAACAGATTAGCTATCACATAGTCGCATCAGCGCTTGAAATCAAGTGTGGGCTTGAAAGCTCCGGTGGGCAAACTACAAATTTATCCCTATAAACTGTAATTATATTAAACGGCAGTTTCAGGCATTGTTATTTCCGCCATTTTGCCAATTAGCACAGTTTTCTGTGGAAACTCCGACCCCGGAATGGGAAAACTATCCGCGATGTTATAAGGTATCATGGAAAGTGAGCCCTACAAAAAGCATGTTCCCCGGCTCTGTAGGAGTTCGGGGCACCCTGTTTAACTGACGATCTATAGGTCCGCGTATTTCATTCGATAAAGTACTCCCAGGAGAGTTAAAAAATCACAAGACACCCAACAGCTTAATAATCGTTAAAACAGTGCCTTCAGAAAATCCAATCCTGAGCTGGTTGATCGGATCAAAGCTTAAAGTTCCGCATTGACAGTGGAGTTTAAACTCACCGAATTTGACAAATGTCTGGGGCAGTTCGAAATATGAGCGTCGTTGAAAAATGCATCTTCTGAGGTCCCCTTTAATTGCGTACTCAGATAT